TGTGTATAAGAGACAGCCCCAGCTGTGCCCTCCGTCCTCTCCCTGAGGGAATTTGCCTCTCACGGCTGCTTTCTGCCTTGGCTGGCTGGGGGGAGCCGGCCGGGACACGTCTGCCAGGGCTGGTGCTCGGGGGCTTCCAGGGGAGCGCAGGGCAGGGCCAGGGGACGAGGCCGGTGTGCTCGGGGCAGGGTGAGCACCAGCCAGTTGCACGGCTCCTGCTCGGGAAATTCATGTAAGTGGGTTTCCAGGGACTGTGAGGAGCAAGGCTGAAGCTTTTTGATGTGTGTGGTTTGGGTACCAGCTCTTTCACATATTGACCTTGATAAAGACAGGACGTGGACATTGTAGGTTTATCTCCTCCTCTCTGGCCTTAGTTTTTCTGTCAGTATTAACTAGTGCAGAAAACTTATCTGACCCTGTGATGAAGAGAGCGGTGAGTTAGAAATTAAGCAGGTAACTGATGGATTAATTTATCTGCTTTTTAGTGTTTTTCTTGACCAACTAATGTTGTTGCTACTGTCTGCAGCCCAGGTCTCCTGTGTGAAGTTAGTCTGAGTAGGTGACAAGCAGTGAAATAGGCTTGTGCCCTGAACACATGTGTTTCTGTGCTTTCTGTTTTCCTCTTGAACCTTCTGTGGTGCTGCCCCTGAGTGGCTGAGCTTTACTTCTGGCAGTGGACATGCCAAAGTCAATATTTGTCTGCTGCGGGTTCGGTAGTACCTAAATTAAGGCTTCTGCCCATCTGCTGGAGCAATAGATATGGCTTTGTAAACAGGCTGGGAGAGACCTGAGGGGAATTGCTTCCGATTGCGCTTTCTCACCAGCTCCAGGATGGGGGAAAAGGGGGGAGCAAAATGCCCTGTACAGCCAGGAGTCCCCGAGAGGTTCCTGTACCTTGGATCTGTATGTTGGACTGACGTGGGAGGAGGCTAACCTTTGCTAACTTTATTGTTCCCTGTGCATTTCCTCAACAGCAGTGCTTCCATAGTTTCCACATTCTCACTGGTCGTGCTGGTCGGCTTTTGGAATTACTTTTTTGACCGATTTTGACACCTTGTCTAATTAGAGGCAGAGCACTGCAGGCATGGCACTGGCATTGCTGAAGGGGCAGTGTCCTGCTCCACATGGGCTGGCAGTGTGTGGCGGGGAGAGGAAACACTATCAGACACAAACTGTATCAGCTGTACAAAGTCTAGGTTCATAAATCTGAGCCAAGCGTTTTGGTGCCTTGCAGTGTGACCTCTGCAGCCTCAGGCCCTTTGGGAAGTTCCTGATAAGAGTTGGGCAACTGAACAAGACTCAAACCCAGCTTTTTCTCTTAAAACCAGTGCGGAGTCACCACTTCCTTTTTAAATGCAACTGCAGAGGCGCGAGAGCAAGACATTGCTTTGTCTCGGGAACACTGGAGACTGTGTTGATTCCCTCCGAGCCTGGTGGATTCAAATCCACGTCTCCCAGATCCCTGCGGGTTGTCCTTGCTTTTAGGCCGTTTTCTCATCTGAAATGTCTGGGGTCTCCTGGCTTGCAGGGTGAAGTGACTTCAGAGAGCCTGCACTCTGGTGATAACCCTCACCAGAGGGGTAAGCTTGAACCGCTTTCAGATGTGCGTTGTTCCCACGTCTTCTCATTCTGCTTGTGCTCTAATTGTTAAATTAATTGTCTTATGAGGGAATGTTGGCGTGTTCTTCTGCCGTTGCTGTTATATACGGATCCTGCCCCTCGATTTGCTTTTGGCAGAGTACTCTAGATTAAACCCTTCAGTACAGGCCTGCATAGAAACTCTCAGCCTCGCTACAGTCATCAGAATGGAAATATAAGAGCAGTACAGAAAATGCCCTAAAGCAAAACTTCAGAAGCTGGTGAATTTTGCTAGATGGAAAGCTTAGGATGTTGGGCTCCTCTGGCTTTGGCTGGGACCTCTGCAGATGTCACGAGAGGAGCTGGTGTCCTGTGAGTTTTATTTATTTCCCCTACCACCCTTCTCTCTTTTTGGAGCAAGTAGTGAAAAACAACTGAAACTTTTAAAACTAGTTACTGTAATATAGGCAGAATAAACAAGTGGACTAAATAGTAACATAATGTGCCTCAAGCAGTTTGCTGCAGGTGTACCTTCACAAAATTTTCCCTAATCTGAGATGGTGAAACACGTTTCACGCTAAAGTTGCATTCAAAGTAATTATGTTGTTGTCCGCCTAGAAAAACAGTGCTGCTTGCATACGTGTCTTGGCGTAAAAGGAAGATGCTGTCTCTTGAAATGACACAGGGCATTTTTGTCTTTGAAACACTGATGAAGAAAAGCTCCCGCTGTCTCCAGTGGGCTCTTGTGAGTCACGTACCACGTGACTGTAAACTTTGGAGTTATTCACTGACCGCGGATGAGCACAGTGGAAAAAGGAAGTTCATTTCACGCTGTGGTTTCCTTACCATGTGTGGTTTTATTCCTCCCTCCGCAAACAGTAAGATTATGTATGAAGGAATCTCTGCAGTGGAGGGCAGGATGTTGGGTTTTGTCTCAATTAAACTGAAAATGTTCCAGTGAATAGAGCTTATTCGTATGTATTGTCTTGCACAAATTCACGCGAGGTTGAGTACGCTTGTTTATGTACCTGTTTATCTGTATTTGCTGCAAATCTATTTCCTTATGCCAGGATCCCACAACTGGAGCTTGACTTGAGAATATTTAGGCTGCGCAGTGAAATTTTCCTCCTCAAGGAGTTTTAGCCACTGGCCATCCAAGCTGAGCAACATCATCACTTACTAGACACAGGATTTTTTCCCTGACTACATCTGAGCCCTGTTATCCTTGAGGCCCTGCAGTTAAGAGTTTGCAAAAATCCTGCCCAAGCTAAGTGATGAGCCAGGGAGGTATGGAAACGGCAACTCCTGTGGAAGTGTATCGCAGAGCACTGAACAAAAATATCATGGGGTTGGATCCTGGAGTCTGAGTTCAGGCCTGCAAAAGGTTTGAGCTTGCTGCTTGAGGTGTCCGTGGGGGAACGCTCCTTTTCCTTTCACCAGGAGCTGGGCTGGGGTCTCAGTGCAGCTGAACCCGTGGAAGGTTGATGCATTTCAGGAACTGATTATTCAGCTGCAAAAAGAAATATTCACAGTGCTGCTTTGTGGTTCCAAAACACATCTTTCTATAGGGAAATTGCAATGGTTGTCCAGGAACTTCTGTGAGATTACCCATAAAAGCAAAGGTTGCCAATGAGTGGAATATTTGGTGGTTTCACGCATAGCTTCTTTACATGATAATCATAGAAGATCTCAAGTTGGAAGGGACCCATAAGGACCATCTCTGTCTTCAAAGCATTAAACAATGGGTGAGATTTATGAGGAAATTAAATGAGAACAGATGGATCAGGCAACAAGTGAGTGGATCACCGGAATGCTGCTTTCTCTGTTCTCTTTTTTTTTTTTTATTCATTTGTTTGAGTTAAAGCCACTCAACTGCACCACAGTTGTTTCCTTGAGAAGGGAGGGCACCCAAGAGCTACTGTTTGGCCACGATGCCCCCATCATGCCAGGAATATTTCCCTTGGTCTTGCCTTCTGGTCCCTTTTCCAGAGAACAGACTGATGCCTCACACTGTTCTGCAGCTGTAAGACACTGGCACTGAAGTACATCCTCTTCTGAAGGTGGACCTTACTCATTTGCTCCTCTTCCAGTGAAAGATTATTTTCTCTTAGTGCTTTAGCATAACTGGTGTTTGTGTGTCATATGTTCTTCCTTGAAAATTTACAGATCTCGGCTGAGAGCAGCTGCAAATGGGTGAGGTGACGTTTTAGCTGTTTTTCTTAACCGTCTTCATACTTTATTTTCTTTTCACATATTTTAAAAGAGGCAAAGCAAAAATGCTTCCATTTCTAAATCTTAAGTTATAAAATGCCCGTCAGACAATGGGTCGTGTCTGTATTTTGGGAAAGCCCAGAGGCTTCAGCTGCAATGGGACTCCTTATCTCTGCTGTCCGAGCAATTCCAAAGAATGTTTATCAATATGGTGATAGGTGCTTTATATATATAAATATATAAATATATATATATGCAAGAGTTTAACCACGGAGTCCCAGCCCTGAGCAGCTCACAAGTGGCATAGCCTTCCTGGTCACACTCTTGCTCTCTTTAGACTGGCACAGGCAATATAATATGATATTCTCCTCTATGTAGATGTAGTTAAGCTTGTATATAGCTGCATCTCTATATACAGGAAGAATAAGCTGCCTGTACGGGTCCTACTTCTTATCAGAGTGCTGTTGTCTCCAAGGACTGTACTAGAGGAGCTCAATTAAAATGGAAAGCAAATGCAACCCCAGCAAAATAATTGTGCCAGTATAAACTCTGCAACCTCCAGACCATCCACGGGGCAGGCAGGAGCACAGCACAGAGGTGCAGAAAAGGGAAAACGAGCTGCCGTAAATCCCGAGGGCTTTGGATACAGTGCAGCTATTCTAACCTCGGTACCGTGGTTGCTGTCAGCGTTGGCAGCAGCATGTGGTGTTTGTTGTGTTTTTGTAGGGGCAGTTTTTAGTTTAGACTTCCTTTCTTCTTGATAATGCTCGTCAGGCCCTGCGGTGCTGATTTAGAGGGTTGTTTTGTATTCTGTGTTTCCACTCTGGGATTTGCAGGTAGGGGCACGTGGTGTTTTTACCCTTAACGAAGGAGGGGTAGAATCAGAGCTCAGCACAGACCCCTCTGCAGCTTTCGTCTGTGTGATCAGATGTTGCCAAAATCAGCAACAGGGCTTGACACCGAGTAAACTTCACAGGATTTGATTGTTCCAGAATTACGGTCACGTTCAGTGTTGGTAACCGGAAGAACAAATCTGCTTTTTAAGAAGGGTTGTGCAGAATTGTTAAAATAATGAGGAATGTCGGGGTTTGTGTACCGGCTGATTATTTTATTTTTTTTTAAATAGCAGTTTACTTCACAGCTAACAGTGACTGTCTGTTTCCGCAGTTGGGAAGGTCCGCAGAGCTAGGAGCCAACAAATCATCTCAACACCTAAATGAAGCACTAAATCTGGTGAGCTCGGACAAATTTCTCTTCCGATGTTTGCGCTTTGCTGGGTCCCTCCCAGACCTGTCTGTCCCAGCTTGCTGTCTGGCGCAGCAGGAAGGTGCGTGTGTTCTGGCAGCGGCTCCCCGTGCATCCTCGGCCTTTGCCAGGTACCGCTAAGAGCATGTTTGTTTGCCACCGGATAATACAAGCCTTAAAAGCGGTTGACAGCGGGGTTGTGCTGAATGAGATGGTACCAGGTGGAGCTTCGTATGAACAAGGAGGCATCGTGATCCTTTCTGTAAGGCTCCGGCGTGCCTACTCTGGGCAGTGGGAGAGGAGCAGTCTGTGGTGGGAACCCCAGGCTCACAGCCTGGTGGATGCTGTGCAGGAGATGCTCCCGATTCCAGGAGGTTCCCTTGGGTGCTGGTTAGTGATATGTGCTGACTTGATTTTCTTTCTCCAATAGATCTGTTGCTATCTGTCAGAAACCTCACCAGGGAACACTCCTCATAGAAATGGCAGGTAAGAGCGCCTCAAAATACGGCGATACAGGGAGAACGGTTTCAGAGAATGTTTTTCAGTATGCTGTGATGGCTGTAACGCGTCCCTTCCTGAGATCTCAGTGATCCCTAAAGCTCTTCCGCTACTTCTCTTTTTCTTACCTTTGGTCACGTTCACTTTTACGCTGTATCCGCTAGATTTGTCAGCTGAGGTTACTGTTCTAAGGATAAGGGCTCAGGTGTGACCCGTCTGGAAGTTTTAAGAGGATGGACTTTATTCCCAAAAAAGTACACGAGACTAATTCCTTCCTTACAGAGGCTAAACAGCTTCCCACAGCATTCCTAGGTATGCTACTGATATTAATACACCTTAATTTTACTTATAGTGAAATTCATAACAAAATTCCTCCCAACTTCTTTAAAATAAGAGGAAGTCTGGGACTTCCATCCAGCTGCTGTTCATTGGTAACACAGTTTGGTTTTTTTAAAGCATGGGTTGTGCTTGCTGATCTAATGTGTTGATCCTAGCCTTGAGGGGAGTGCTGTAGCACTCCAGGCTCTGCAGTCAGACATGAAAGGGAATATTTTCATTTGATTTCTTTTGTCTGCTCTGGGAAGTAACCCAGAACAGTCGGAAACTACAGGGTCACTGGGTGGGAGAAAGTGGTCATCTGGCTGCTTGGAGCCAGGCAGCAGCATAGATGAGGTGTAATCCCAGTCTTTGTGTACCTAGCAAACAAGTGTGGAAGTATTTGGAGTATTTTGTGAGCTTGAAAAATGACAAACTGCAGTGGCTGGTGCCCAGCAGGCCAGTTGGTTTTGGCCCCGCCATTTGGGGATTTCTGCACTAGAGGTTGGCAGCAACTCTACTGCCCATGACAGATCTGTACTGCAGGAGAAAGAAAATGGAAGAGAGCGGAACCAAAGTAACTAGCTGCTTTCGAAAACAAAATTTTCCTCATGCCTAGAAAAAAAAAAAAAGAAGATTGTTAGAGAATCTTTTTTTACTGTGATCCTGTGATCAGTTAATCTGGCTCTTACTGACTTCCCTAGAGAGCTATCTCTTTAGCTTTAAAAGCAGTGCCCGCTTCCTTTCCTTTGATCCAGCGTTGTTACATCCTTTTGCAGGCTGCTGAAGCCCGTTAGGTGCTTATAGCAAGTAAAAAAACGAGTGCTAAGAAGTCCAAATTCCTGTGGACTTTGAAAGCAGCCGTGGGACATCAGCACTGCATGTGATGGGGTCAGCAGCAGGTGTTAACCAGTAACTTCCACCAGCTTCAGCTTAATGTAAAATGCATTTAGCAGAGATGGGTGAGGAGGGGCAGAAGGCTTAATGTTTCTAAGGAAAACTCAAGCTGGGCTGGTGACCGCAGACATTATTCCATGTTTAATTCTGATGTACTTACAGGGGGCATTATCCTCACCATATTTTCTGTGTCAGAATGTGCCTTTCCTTTGCATGAAGTAGAGCCTTTTCTTTCCTAAAGCATGACTTTAGTCTCCTCCCTGCCAACCTTCGTATGAAGTTAAGAAGCTGTTCCTGCAAAATGTCTTCTCACTCGGAGATAATGGCAAGAGAAAGGGAACTCTTGTGCTGACAGTTCTTGTTCAGACGTTTCCTCTCGTCTTCTGTGCCATTTGGAGATTTTCCCAGGACATTCTTCATCTTTTCCTCTGGTTGTTTTTAATTCTGTTTACTGGGGCTGAAGTAGACTAGAGACAATTAGTCACAATGCCCTGGAATCAAACTTTAATCAGCACTGGAAGGCAAGAGGAGACATTCCCAAACATGTAGAAACGCACATCCAGGCACACGCATGTATACAGACAAATCTGTGCAGCTGTCTGGAAGCTGTCTGGACAGCACCTTAAATGCAGAAGATTTAGGCATTTAATTACTTGATTTAAAAACATAATTTCTTTCCAAGGTAAGGTGGTTTTGGTTTTTGTTTTTTGGTGTTTTTTTTTTTTTTCTCCTGGGCCATAACCTTACAGGCAAAACTTGACTTTTAAAGAAAAAAGGGTATGTTCATGAGTCGTGTCACAAGGAAATCATCCCTGATGTCTGTCTTGCCTTCCATGAACTGGATGATAGCTAAGTTCTGAATTCCACTTTGAGAGATGCTTTCCAAAGTCACCCTTCCTTACCCTCACAAGGACACACCTACTACAGGTCCTAAGGCCTGGTCCATGTGCCAGCAAGCCCACCTACTCAGAGCCTGTGTCTGAAGGCAAATCTTGTCTGCACAATCGCCAGCCTTTCCTCTTGCTTTGGTTTTCTGAGAGGTTGTAACTAAACCTCTGTGCAGCCTGTTTCCCTGAGACGTTGCTGGCCTCTCCCCTCTTTCCGAGGAACCTCATCCTGGAGCTTATTTTAAGGTTTTTATCGTGCGGTGCCTTTCGCACAACTTTACACTGATGTGTAAAGGTGTCGGATCCATGTGTTACTAGCTCATTTCTGTTCCTCGCTCTGAACTTCACGTGTGCTAGTTTAAATGTTGTACCCACTGCTGAGGAAGGAGAACAAAACGTTTGGTGTCCAGGTGAGGATGAATGTGCTGCAGCAGTATGAACAGCCAGCGGTGGTTTTCTCTTGATTTTTGCGAGTCTCCTGGACCCAGGGGTCCCCAGGTGTGTATTGGGGAGGTGTGGAGGGTATGACACTTGCTCAGTGTTTCTGCATTCAGCTGATATCTGTGTTCTGTGTTGTAGAAAAGGTGAATAACTTCCCACCGTTACCCAAGTTTATCCCTCTGAAACCATGCTTCTACCAGAACTTTGCCGATGAGATTCCCATCGATTATCAGTCTCTGGTGAAGAGAATCTACCACGTATGGATCTGTAAGTTAAATAAGAAACCTGTGCTGGGAAAACATGTGGGTGTGGTGAAAAAACATAGATCTCAGTGACTTTGTGCTTTAAAGTTTTGACTGCAAAGAGCTGATGAGAAACAATGATTAATCTTCACATACTGTAATATAACTTTACGCCCAAATTTTAAGCTGCTGTGCCTTGAATCTTTGCTGCAGAGCTGCTGTTAAAGAGAATCAGTGCTGGAAAAGTCTTATCAGTAAATTTGAGAAGGAAAAAAGCAGACCGCATTTGATACCTTTATTAGTGTCAAGTGATGTTTTACTCCCCAAAATAGCCCTCTTAAAGTAATTCCCAATTCACCTAAACTAAGATGAATAGGAGATTTTTAGGCAAGAAAATAAATGTGGCCCATATGCTTGCTACCTGTCTCCCCACCTTGCTATAGGAAGGCTAAAATTCCCCCTTGTTGTGCCATCTACAGATTTCCCTTTCCCAAAGGAAGCAGTGTCTTCTGGCCGTATGCTGTCTCCTCCTTAGCTGTCCATAGCCTGCAAAATGTTCCCCGTCCTGCTGGAGAAGGGCGCTGATCCTCTTGGTCACAGCTGGTGATTTGCTGATATTCTCTATGAACAGACCTCCTGGCTCTGGGCTTGTGTTGTCTGGCTTAGCCATTCAAAAGTCAGTAATGAAAATTGACCATTCTTCTCCGAGGAATGAAATCGGATGAAAAAATTGTGTGGCAGGCCTAGAAAACCGCAGGGAATGCTTTGGAAGATTAAAAATCTTTTTGCCTCCCTTATCTTTTTTCCCCCAAATGCTTGTCATCCTATTTACCCCTTCTCACTGAGGGAAAGCTTGTTTTCTGCCAGATAGGCATTTGGTGGCGTGGCTTTTCTTCCAGATGCATAGGATGTGTGTATGAGAGAGATTTGTGTGCATAAATAATAGCATATTCTATCACTCCATTGTTCTTTCGTTATTTAGAGACGCTGAAATGAGCTCTGTAATTTTCTTGCCTGAAGAAACTGCTTGTCCCTTCAGACTAACTGGTTAAATGCTGCGTGCTGTAAAGCTGCCTTTGTCTGTGCGACTCTCCCTAAACAAAGCGTCCCTCATTCAAGTTAATGGCAGGCTGGAAAGGTGCCAGCCGTTTGGGCAACTAGTCCAGGCACGGCTGAGGAGACCTGGCGTTTTCACCAGAAACTTTCAATTTCCCATCCGCAGCACGCTTCCTTTTGGGGTCTCCCCGACTCTTTGGGGCAGGATGGAGAGAGACGCACACACGTGAAGGGAAAGGGGTAAACGAGAAAAGGCCGGCGTTAAAAATAGAAACGCAAAAGTCGTTGCTAGAAGGTGGAATGGTTATTGCTTGTAATTGGATGTGAACATTTTGTTGAGGTGGATGATTTGGGGAAACCTGGACCAGAGCTCCCACTACTGGAGAACAAGCTCCTGCCCGATGTGCAGGGAGAGCCAGAAGTTCCTGAAAACTTTATAAGTCCTCCTGGCTTGGTGATTTTTTTTTCAACTTTTAGATAATAAAGGACTTACGAAAATGAAAATTTGAAGTGCAGCTAATTATTGTATAAATGAAATTTAAATAATTAAAATTCTTGTTTTCCCCCTCAATATTAAGATACATCCAAACCATTGTGTGTAAAAACCTTGTTGTTAGCTACTCAGAAGAAATTTTCTTTGCAGTAAAACAATGTTTTGTTTTAACTCTCATGTAATTTGTGTGTCAGAAGCAGCAGCTGGGTTCAGATGCTTTCCACACTAGAATCTCCCGACTGTGCTGTCACTATTATTTTATGACCACAAAACTTTGTAGTTGTTCAGCAGCCCCCAGGCTACGTGAAGGCAGGTGGGTCTGTGCCAAGAGGAGGAAAGAGAAGGCTCGGAAGGAGGGGGCCGGAGGACCAAGCCAGTGATGTGCAGGCGTGCTGCAGAGCCACAGCACGTAGTGAAGCAAGGAATGGGCAGGGCATGTCACTTACCGTGGGTGAAGAGAAATTCAGGGGGTTAATTTTGACTGAATAAATAAGTCCAGGGCCCAGAGCGTTACTGTTCGTCACCGGGTGCTACTGAAGGGTCTTTTGTGTTTGGACCCTCCGCCTTCTCACTTTTTATCTGTGCTAATCGATACAGGTTACGGCAATGTTTTTTAAGTGTTACCACCTGTTTTCCAAAATAGGAGCTTGTAATTGGGCTAAGCCTCTCCGACACTGCCGGAGCCCCGGGGCACGCAAGGACAGTCGCAGGGAGGCCCTGGAGTGTTGAGAGGGGAGTGTGGAGGGTAGCGGGGAGCCCTTGGCACGGGGCCTGAGCTCAGCCTGCGAAAGCCGGGAAGCGTGCAGCCCCGCTTTGCGGTGGTGGGGAGCTTCAGGGAAGGGGCAGAGCTGCGTCACTTCGTGCACGTCTACTTAGTACAGCGCTGGTGTGCTCCGGGGGCTGTTGGCAACTGTTCCTCTTTATCCAAGTGGCAGGAACAGGGATGTGAAAAGGCCTTTAAGCCGCCCCCGTGGTCCTGTGTTCTCAGCCTGATTGGAGTTTGCTTATCCCCTTCCTCAGGGCAGCGCTTACAAGCCCAGGAGCTGACTTCCAGGCTCCCTCAGAGGCCCAGGGAAGCAGCGAGCGAGCCCGCAAGGCGCTGTGCTGGCTCTGTGACAGCTCCTGAGGCAGCCTCGGTGCGCGTGGAGACCAAAGTCACACCAAGGCTGGGTGCAGGGTAGTGGTTTACACCCCTCTCCTCTCATAAAGGGGTTTTGCTACAAATGGGAATTGAACCTTGCTTGGAATTCATAATAATACTGGCCTGAGTCTTGTACTGGTTGCACCGGTTGCCACCCATCTCCCCATCCTTTGGCAGGTCCCAGAAGAGCTTCCTCAGCCCTTAGCCACAGCACTCCCTCAGGAGATGGATGTGCCTGTGCTGCCGGCTCCTGGGTCACGCAGGAACCAGCGACTCTTGGAGCATTATTGGGCTTGAGTTTCCCACTGCAGCGTGGACCCTTCCTCTTATAATCCCAGGTGTTTGTTTCCTTTTTGCATGAAGACGTGAAACTGCACAACCTCATGTTTTTTTCCCTTGCCCTCTTCACAGTTTACTGCATCACACTAGCGGTGAATGTAATTGCTTGCCTGGCGTGGTGGATCGGAGGAGGCTACGGTGTCAATTTTGGTTTGGCAATCCTCTGGCTTATCCTCTTCAGTCCCTGTGGCTACGTCTGCTGGTTCCGACCCGCGTACAAAGCCTTTCGGTAAGTGGAAGCCCACCAGGTGGTTTTGGTTTGGTTTCCTCTGGGAGAGAGATGTGTTGTTACTGGGGAGTGCTTCTATGGAGAGATCTCTGTCTGGGATAAAGATTAAGGACTTGATGTCTGAATGTCTTGTTTACTTTTTAGATTAAGAAGAATGTGGCTACTTTTAAATACTAGATGTAGGACTGAGGGTCTCCTGTTTAGGACTGGAGATGAGCAGCAGTGAGTAGTTTGCCACTTCCATGAGGATGAAATTCATATTTTACTTAAATACCTCAAGCTTAGCAGCACCCTCACACCAGTGTAGTGTTAAGACATACACTAATTTGCTAAAGCTTCATCGAGGTTTATTTTGATGGAACACCGCTAAGTTATTAGTTTTTGAGAACTCGTCTGTTTTTTGTCTCTAGATACTTGAGAGCTTGGCTGCTTTGCTTTTTAGATAAAAGCAGTTCCCCGGAGCAAGTCTTTCTGAAACTCCACAAATATTTAAAGCCATCCTACATTTTCACTTTAATTAATAATCATTTGCATTTGCTCACGCTTGCTGTGGATCATGAGGCATTATTCAGACCTTAATGCATAATGCTTGTCAGAGCTGTGAAGGTCCTGAGCAGTTTCCAGCCTGATGCAGGGAGAGGAGGGGAAGGATCTGCCCAGTGTCACTCTGCAGGTCACCAGCAGACCCCCCCCCACCAGTCAGGGATTTGGACTCTGAAGGTGAAGAAGCTCTTTCTGGTTCCCTGTTACCTGAATACTCTGGGTTTTGATTATTCACCAGATTCTGCGATGAGTTGGTTTAGATAACAGCAAAAGCAGCTGATAGAAATGAGAGTTGACAGGTGGGATCCTATCTCTTTAGCACATGCTAAATTAGTTGTTTACATGCTCTTCTGAATTTACGCTTTGTATACTAATGACACTGGGCAGTTAATGCACTGGTGGTGCTTAAAACATCAGTGACTACATCATGGAGTACAGGGGAGGATTATTTCTGATGGAAACAGAAGGCCACTGGGTTGGATTCATCTGAAAGTTTTAAAAGACCTGAAAATGCCAACTCTCAACTGTTGCCCTCTGGGGCTGGGGTTTAGTCCCCATCCCTAGTTCAGAAACCCAAGGGTCTCCGGGTGCCAGCCAGAGCTGTGTTCAAAGAGCAGTTTCCATTCTGAAGTCTGGGAAAAATTACTCCTCCCTGGTGACCTTCTCTGGGCTTCACAAGGACCGTTTCTAATTATTTCTTTAATGTTGTTTGTGTTTATGCAACTGAATACTGAAAGGTCCCTGAGGTTAGTCTGTGTAAAGACTACAGTTAAAAAAAGAATAAGCCCTAGGGACAGACTGGGAAGCCCAGAGATCATTGGCTTTGACATCCGTCGTAGAAGAGCCTCGTAAAACACTGCAGTGGGGCAGCGCTGTTTCTGGTGGGATAGCAGCTAGTCAGGATTCAGGAGAAGTCAGACCCACTTGCTCTTTTTATGGGAAGAGGCAACCCTTCGCCACTGGCATCATGTACTGCGAAGGATGCTTTCGTAAAACCATCGCGTCATCATCTGCCTCCAAAATTAAATTAGCTGCAGAGCTTTGGCGCTACGGCAAAGCCGTTGCAAATCTGCACCAGAAAGCTGGATCAGAAATCACCTTTTCTGTGTATCCTCGCTAATTCCCACAGATCCTTCCAAATGAAGACTTCTCCAGCCCTTTCAGGTCATAGTTGCAAAAGTCTGAAGGCTCAGCTTCGAGCCTAATCCTTGTTAATTGGATTATGATAGGCACTACTGTGAACAGTCCATGGTTGAAGTATTTCTTTCACGTTGCTGTACTCTGAGGTGATACTTGGAAGGCAGGATCGTGAGGATACTCAGGGCTGGCAGATTTCTTTCACAGCATCTCTGTGGCCATCTTTTGAAAGATAGAAGGTAACTGTGCCAACACACACGGCCTGCAGTGGCAGGGGTCTGGCTGGAGGCTTTTCCATTTGTCTCAGACCAACCAGGGTCCACAGCACTGACCTCTCCAGAGCCTGGGGTCCTGCCTCCCTCATCTCCTCTTCAGGCATTTGGGGGCTAGAATTATAATACTAATAAACATTAATAATAATTCAAATAACATTTCAATACTGTCAGGGTTTGAGCAGGAGCTGGGAATGACTGGAGTTCTTTTGTAAACTCCCCCTTGCACCAAGCTGCCTTGTAAGCAACTGAAGTGTTTTCTGTAAATCTGTTCTGTAAATCATGGGCCCTTTATGTTCCTGAGAGAAGGGGAATCATTCGTATCATTAAAAACGATAGTTTGGGAGTTTTAGATATGCCTGGCTCATCGACGTAGCTGGTTTAATGGGATAAAGATGTGCTGCAGTTCTGTGGCAGAGCCAAAGCTCGGGCAAGATAGTGCTGTGCCCAGCCCTGGTGATGGACTGTGAATGTGTCTGGTCAGCCATCTCGTCTGGGATCATACCCATGCTCTCTGTTAACACCTGCATAAATGAAAGGACCTCACATATTCAGGGCCCTCTGAACTTGTGCATCCTGAAGATGTGGAGCCCGCAAAGATGTGAAAGCACACTTCTGCTTTTCCCCAGACAGGGTATCACCCGCTTCTCTTGTGGCTTTTTTCCCTCCTGTTATGTCCCAGCGCTGCATTAGTAACCATGGGCGTGGAAGAGTGATGACGAGCAGCCACTGAGACATTCCCAGCTGGAATTCTCATGCTCAGCGATCACTTCTAGTGTATGGGGAAACTGCCTGCTGGGGTTCCAGCCCCCTTGTGCCTACTTGCCAGTGGCTGAGCTGCACAGGTGTCGGGCTGTGCTGCCTTCCGATGTTTGGTCAGAGAATCGATTCGGGCGCTCTCTGTTCTGCAGGAGACCGCCTCTCCTCAGGTGTCATCATATATGCAATTGCTTTGGTAGAGCAATAGCAGGAGCCAGGCTTATTGGAAGAGGTTAGGTGCTGATGATTCCTGGATCTGCGTGCTTTCACTGCCAGGGAAAGAGGAGCAGCTTCAAAGCACACAGCTGCAGAGGGATCTCTTCTGAGACACCACATTGGAGGGGTTTGGATGTGATGGGGTCAAACATCAGCGTGAAGCAAACACGAGGTGCCAGTCTCCCGCTAACTTTCTCTCTTCCTTCACAGGTCGGACAGCTCATTTAATTTTATGGCCTTTTTTTTCGTCTTTGGCGCACAGTTTATTCTCACAGTCCTGCAGGCGATTGGTTTCTCCGGATGGGGAGCTTGGTAAGCAGGATGCTGCCACAGTCTTACAGCTGAGCACTCGGCTCCCGTGCTGGAGGGTTTCAGGCTATGGGCTGTTTCTGTGAAGGGATGGGAGTCTGTACAGGGTGGAGTGGAAAGAAGCTTTCCGTTTTCTTCTGTGGCATAGTTATATCTGCTCTTGGAGTACACAGTTCTGTTTTCGTTGTTGTATTGGCAGAAGTTGGATATCTTCACCTGCCTGTTCTCTGTAGCACCTTCCTACAAGGTCCATTTCTTTTTATCATTTAACCAGACAGTTTCAGGATTCATCTGATCCTCTCTTAGCATTGCCCACAAAGTATTTGCAGCACATGGTGAGCAGTGCACGATGACTCACTGTTGGCCTATAGAGCAAGTATTGTGAGAGTTGTCCTAAAATAAATGGGACCATTTTAGTGTCTGGCCCTGGTTACGTTATAATGGTATGGCATTTTAACTTTTTGCCTCTAGAGACTTGAGAGCAACTCCTGCTGAAACTACAAATAATAGAAAGTCTTAGCACTCCATATGGCATTTTGTTTTCTTAACTGCTGATGCTCTCCAGCTCCCCTACCTGGTTATTGCTGTGAAAGGAAGAGAGACGTGGTGTAAATCAGAGGGCCCTTACGTTCCCTGTCCCGGGTCTGGTCTCTAGATGCACGACCTGCACAACCAAAAGCACTTTAGGAATAAATCTTCTGTTCCCAAAGTCTGTGCAGCTGGCTGTCCTCTAAAGGTCTGAGACCAGATTAGCAAGGGATGCTGGCAAGTCAGACTTGAGGTCTTGGGGAAATACCTGCCTGAGCTGCATTTAATTCTGTCCGTTTTCTTCATCGTTATTTTCAAGTTTCAAAGCTGCCTTGCAATTTCTGGGTATGTGTAAACAGTTTTTTTCTGATAATAAGGACACTTTAAAAAGAGAGCTGTAATGATATTGTTTCTTTCTGTTTTCCCCAGCGGGTGGTTGGCAGCCATTACTTTCTTTAGCACCAATGTTGCAGCTGCTGTGTTCATGCTGTTTCCTGCCGTGATGTTTACAATGTCAGTGGTCGCAATGCTCATCTGCATCTTAAGGGTAGGTGCTTCAGATGTGTCCCTGACTTGGAGTATCCGCGTTTTGTACTGCGGTAATGTGAACAGGCGGCTCAGCAGCCGCTGTCAGCCGTCATGGCTTTTAAAGGTTTTGTAGTGTGGTCAGATGGTGTCTCTCAGAGTATCTAGAGGGCAAATCCAGATGACACGAGACAGCCGGGGCTGAGTGTTGTCACCATTTCATGTCTGATGTTCCTTTACGTCACTCGGGGAATGCTTCCTCGCTCACTGGGATGGTCACTGGTGGTAAAGGTGAAGCACCTGGAGATGGCCTGCAGTGGGGACTGCGTGGCAGGATGGGAAGTGGTCCTCGGTTCTCTGCAGAGAGAAGGGTTTGGAGGTAGAACTGTCTGGAAAGCCTCGGTAGACCGATGGCAGAGGAGAGGACAGGAGCCCTGCTGAAGCAGCAGTGTTGATTTTACAAGGTTTCAGCCCACTGCCCCGAGTTGGCTGCCTTGCTGGGGGATTCCCAACCTGAACCCCGGCCATGTGGCTGAAGTGTGTTCAAGTCTTGGGTTGATATTATCTATCTGCACTTCTGTTCACTGTATTATTATGCTTTCAGTGCTTTTGTTCCTTGGAAATACAGTTCTTTACAGAGAGAGAAACAAATACAGTACCAAAGCGACTATAGCTCTTCTGAGGAAGAGTTGTGGGTGCCTGTTGCTGACTTTCCTCCTCTTCTCTCTTTCATCCACTAGGTACATAAAATCTACCGAGGGGGTGGTGGAAGCTTTCAGAAAGCTCAGGATGAGTGGAACAGCGGCACGTGGAGGAACCCCCCCAGCAGGGAGGCCCAGTACAGCAATTTTTCTGGGAACAGCCTGCCAGAGTATCCCACAGTGCCCAACTATCCCCCTGGAAACCAATGGCCTTAAGCAGCAACAGCTGCAAACTGCCTGGATTCTCTTCTTTTTGGTCCTTTTATTATTGTTATTTGAAAAGATCATTTGCATTCCCCCCCTAAGCACCCCAGTCATCTTGGGGACTTTTTTTGGTTTTTGTCTCCTCATCACCGCAGAAGATACGTGCTGTCAGCCCTTGCCACCGCCAGAGCTCTGCACGACCTTATCAGAGAGGGTTTTTTTTTGTTTGTGTTGAGTTACCAGTATTTGCCTTGTTGCAGACTGAGGAACCAACCCTTCGCTGCCCTTGCTTGAGGGAATCCTCTCATGACCATACGTGAAAAAGGCTTGACTTCCCCACAACGGTGAACAACACTACGACTGCTCCTTCTCCTGCCTCCCCGCTTAGTTTTCATCACGTGCACGGTGCGCCGCCAAGTCATCTCTAACAAACGCAATCAGAGCATTAGTAGCAACTGGTGTTTACTCTTCTGGATGAATAATCTGGAATTTTTTCCACTCTTAAGGGAAACGCAACACCTAAATTATTTGGTACTAGTGATATCGGGTACTTGTAAAATCTACAACCTCGTTTGCTTGCGCTCTCTGGTGAAGAATCTTTTAGATAACGGTGCGTGCTGTGGGTGAGTGTTGTTTGGATGTGAAGTCCACACGAGTCCACATTTGCCTGGGTAGGACTATTGTTATGCTAGAAGTCTTGCTTTCCCTGCTGCCAAAAGTTTTTGCTGGATCTGTGTGCTTCAAAGGTGCAGATTCATCTCATTTAGTTAATGATTGCTCATTAAGCCTGATTCAAAGCCCACTGGAAACTGTGGAGAAGTTGGCTGACATTGGGCTTTGGACCTGGCTACCTGGGTGATGTTTACCATGTTACAGCACGAGATATCCATGCCATCTAAATTCCATTTGTGTGGCATCCAGATTTTGTGCTGAGCCAAGAAATGCCCTCCAGGGACACACCTTGCCCACTTGGGACACCCTTTTCTTTCGGGCTCCCAACCAGTAACCAGATGCAAGATAACTATTGATCTCAGTGCTGGGGCCTCAGTGTGGTTTGGGAGTGATTCTATTACGGTGAATAGTTTTAGTTCTGCCTTCTACCAGTGTAGCTGAAATCCAGACGTTTTGCAGCGTGGTCTGGTAGACCAAGGAAAGCTCGTTAGTCCTTGTAACTGTCGTTAGCTGCGCAGACCTGGTCTGCAGCTCTGTAGCACTTCCCTTCCATGTACGAGGAGGAAGAGATCGATTCATGCCTTTCTCCGAGAATCAGCTGAGGAGAGGATAAAGCTGTTGGGAGGGATTGTTTTCCCTGAGAGCTGGCATCCATCTCATCGTTCATCTCCATTCTGTGCATGCACGTCAGGACTGCTGTAGCCTGAGCCATCCAATTCCCCTGTGTCCTACAGCGATCCAGGCAGCAAAGGCTGCAGTTTTTTCTTCTCCCTCAACAGCCTGCTGTGAATTTTTTTCAAACCTGTCAAAAACTGGGAGGTTAGTTCCCAATATTTTTATAGGGAATGAGTGTTCAAAGTCTTCATCTCTGAAAGTTTTGGCCAATGATCCTGTGAAGGACAGAGTGCTCCCCTGCGGAGACTTGGGAGGTGTTGGGCACCCCGTGGCGGGTCAGGCCCAGAGCCTGCCTGGCTTGGCAGGTTGGCAGATGGGATGCCAGAGATGTTACGGTGTAAGTGGAGTCACTCCAAATACACACTGGGTAGCTGGAAAACAAAATTGGCTCCTGGAAAAGGATAGGGAGGTTGTCCTAGCTAGGTGGAACTGATTTGCAAGTGATCTTTTGAAAACCGTCTCTACATGTGCCTTATCTAATAAAATAATAGTTCACGAAGGAGAACCCTTCCTTCACCATCATCCCTGCAGAACTTCCCATTAGCTCTATTAACTTTTTCTGTGTCATACTGTAAATACTAGGTGAAGTACAGCTTGGAGTCTGCATGACACCTTTGTTACTAGGGCCAAAGCGAAAGCAAACATGACTCAGAGGGCAGAGCCTCCCTGAATTTCTGTTTACAAGCAACACTGATGCCCTGCTGCAGAACCAGCCCTTTGCTGGGTCTGGGTTATTTAACGTGCCCTGAGCACGAGGGGTTTTTTTCTTGCGAGTGTGCAATGTGCTTGTAAGTATGAACGCTTGAAGCCTTCTTAACAGAACACGACCTGATCACGTTGTCAAGCTTTTAGGTGCCTTTGTCTTGTGTCAAGTGTAATTTTAAATGTTCTTTGTCGCTTGCCATCAGAGTGATAAAAGAACTGCTTGTTGATTAACTCCCTGGAAATACGACTGCACTACAGGGGAGTGAGGGGAGGTTAACAGTGCTGAACGTGAGCTTGGCCACGTGTGGAAGCCAGAACGTGGTGCACCCGTGTACCGCGCTCCCTCCAGCCCTGCCCCTTGCCATCCTCAACCTCTTGCCAAAATTGTTCAAAAGCAATTGGTGTCTGTCCTTTTTTAGCATGTCAGGGTTTCAAAGGAACCAAGAGGAGAAGCATTGCTGGGGACTCTGTCCTGTTTCTCTTTGGGGTTTTTTTGTCCCTTGGATAATCTGGGGAGCTCTTTCGAAGCACCCACCTTCAGGCACGTTGAAAATGCTTGATGGAAGGTGAGGGGGTATTTAGGAGCCCACCCCCCAGAATGGTTGGAGCCAGGCACCAAAATCACACCCTGTTAGCACGCACTGCCCGAGATGCTACAGAGCTTAAATGAACCTCTCTGGATGGGATCTGCCATCACTCATCCCCCCTCTATCCAATTCGATGCCAGAAACCGTAATTCCAGAAAGTTGACTCAACATGCTGCCTGAACTATTGTGGCTTATTTTTTTGGACTCCTCTATGTTTTTAAATGTTTACATTAGATTTTTAAGACTTCTTAACACCATTAACCTGGACCTAGCTCCTGGTTTTTGTTCGGCATCACGTGGCGTGTATGTGTGCGATGTTTCATGTCACTTGTGGAGCTCTGGTTTTTGTTTGTGTTTTTTCTCCTGATCATAAGACAATAAATGCTCATCCTGTGCTTGATGAGAAGAACTGGCCGCATTAGAGAAGTGTGTCTGTTCCTAGGTAACTGGAGTTATCTGGCAGAGGGAAATGGTGAAATCTCTATTTTCCTCCAAAGTCTCCCACCACATGTTTTTTCCTTAAAAGAACAGCACGTTTATGGATGAAGCTCATCCTTTGTGCTGGGGATCAGCACGGGAGTGGCACGCTATGGTTTGTACTCTTACAGATGCCTGATAAGCGTTTACCAAAGGTGCTGCCATTATTCTCATTTTCTAAAGGAGGGAACGGAGAGCAGAGGTGTGGGTGGTGGTGAGAAAGTCGCATCTCCTGAGCGCTGGGGTCGAGCTCTTTCTCCTGGCCTCTCCTCAGCAGTGCAGAGACTCACACCAACCCCTTGCAGCGCTGGCTTCTGCCTTCTCCTGTTTATTGCCTGGAAGGAAATCATTATCCCTGGAGTAAACGGGCTGTTTGACAGCAAAGGTGAGTTGAATCGCTCTATTTAGCACGTAGCTGAATTTATTGCCCCAAATTACCATGTTGTGGCTTCATACTCCGGTTCCACTCCATGGCAGATATTTAATCCTAAAAGAGACGTTTTCATCACCACTGCTCAATACAAAATCTGCTAATCTCAATGTCTTCCTTATCTCCAAGGTTCCCTGTGTCCAGTGTCCCCTGCTCAGCCGTCAGCATCTTGCTTTGACCAGCAGTGGTTTTCTACAGCCACTCGCTGCTGTGCCCGTGATGGGTTGAGCACGAGGATGAAACATCTTCCGCTCAAACGCTTGCTCCAGACCCTCAAAAATGTGAGCACAAGGCACAGCTTTAACCTCTTGCTTCACCTGCTACTGGGGCAGGTCCTTGGCACTTGGAAGCGACAAGTTGTTCGCTTCCACCACGCTTGCTGCGCAAGAGCTGGGGCTTGGCAGGAGGATGGGGCGAGGTTCATCAGGAATGAGCCTGAAGCGTAGAGACTAGGGGGTGGTTGTGCAGCTGGGCTCAGCCCCCCCCACCCTGAGGAACTCCCCAAAAGGTTCAGGGTCCCCAGCATTGGGGTGGGGGCTCTTCACCTGGGGGGGTGCATCCGATGGAACACTGCAAGGGGTCTGGCTTTTCCTTTTGTCTGGTTTTTCATGTGTTTCTGTCGCTCTTCAGTTTCCCAGGCCCTGAACATGAAGGTTTCGTCCGCCCGCCCCCAAGCAGCTCGTTCTCCCATTCGTGATTGAGACTGGTTCATTTTGTGTTGTCTGCTTGTGAATTAGCCCTAATTAGCTCATGCCCGCAGGAGGAGGGCAGGGTTCATAGCTGGATGCTTTCCTGACAGAAATTCCTTGGCTTTTCTTGCTAATTTGCTGGTGCTGAGCTGATTCCGTAGCATGAGCTGTACAGGTCTCTGCAGACCACGCCTGGCACATCACGTGTTCACTGCTGAAGATTCGACTTGAAATAAAATCAAAACTATTTGCTTTCCCCCGTTCCGCTCCAGAGAATGGGTTAAATTCTCAAGCCAAATGTCCGAACAACTTGTGTGTTCTCAGAGTGCTTCAAATCGCTTCTTTCTGTGGCGCAGGGTGGTGGGATGGTGCAAAAAGCAAAGGGAAGGATGGCTCTGCTGTCGGGTTCTTCAGAGGCAGTTTTATTCTCTCCTGTGACAGGATGGGGGTCAACGGCCCCTCGCTGCCCTCCTGAGCCGGGAGAAGGGGGAGGAGAGCCGTGACACAGCACGGAGATGGGATGGCAACATCTGTTGCTTTACCTGCAGAGTAGCTCATTTTATTTTCCTAATTCTCTAAAATCATAGTTTTCTTCTAGAAGCAAACACCTCCAGGGGAGAAGTACTTTAGACAAGTGCTGGGGGGAGAGTGTTTCCCTGGAACTGTGTGAGAATCAATTGAAGCAGCTGGAAATGCTGCAGTAGGTATTTGGGGTGATGTTGGTGGCTGAAGACCCGATTTTTTTTTTCCAAAACCACATAAACTCATTTACCCATTGCCTGAAAATATTTTGCGAGTGAATCTGTCTCATGCTGTGAAGAAGATGAGAGCAGCAGCATCGTACAGGAGTGCCCCCTCCCTCCAACATTACCCTGAAAGGCTCAAACAGGGATGGCTCTTGTGCCAACAAAAGAAGGAAATGATTCTCCTAGCTCTGCCCTCCTTGGTCAAGTGAGTGCAGGGAGAGAATTTTTATGGCCAAATGATTGATCAGAATAACCTCGAGACTGAAGAAAGGGAAAGGCTTTTGGAGGTGGCACTGGGGGCTGTGTGCCCACCTGTTCCAGCAGGTCACATCAGCCTGGAGCTCCGACCCATCGACCTCCCTGCGAGGCAGCAGGGACGGCAATGGCTTTGCTCGAGGCTGGCGTCCCCAAAAAGGCTTCAATGTCTGTAAAACTGACCCCCAGCATCCCTCTGCTCCTGCAGGACAGGGTGGGGTGGGATGGAAGAGGCTGCAGGGCTTAGTCCACCAGTACCATGGCCACACCCCCTCTGTGGGACCCCCCAGACCCAGTTCTGCACCCCAGAGATTGCCCCAGCAGGCCCGGGGCCCTATAGCAGGGCTGTATGCTGTCCTGGGGGCTGTACCCCATACCGGGCCTGTACTCTTAATGGGGGGCTTGCCCACATATTAGGGCCTGACACCTATAACTGGGTTGACGCACCCCACACTGGGGCCTGTCCCCTATAGCAGGGCTGTGCTGTATACCATAGTCTGTCCCCTATAGTGGGGTCGTGCCCTACACGGGGGCCTTTTCCCTGCAGTGGGGCTGTACCCCACCCTAAGGACCGTGCCCTATACCGGATCTGGGTCGCTATACTGGTGCTATACCCCGTGGGGCACAACCTGCAGTGGGACCCGTCCCTTATAGGGGGCCGTACCCCTATAGGGTACCCTAGAGCGAGGCCTGACCTCTCCGGGGGAGCTGTGCCCTGTACCTGCGCCGTACAGGAGGCTGTAGGCAACGTGTGTATAAGAGACAGGGGGAAAGGGTCTGGGCCCACCCGAGATCGCGACCCCTCCCTCTCCCCAGGGCCCCTTTGAGGCCGGGTCAGTGGCAGGGATGGGGTCGGGCCTTCCCCGGTTGTATCCCCCTGGCCTGCACCCTGCCCTGGCCTGCCCGGTGGAGCCGGAGCCTTGCAGGATGTTGGCTCCTTTGTATGTGGCTTTCCTCCCTCCAGAGGGGTTGGGAAGTGTTTATTTGGGGAAAGGGACTGTGCTGAATGTGGTATTTAAAATAGCTTTTTTTTTTTCTTTAGCAAAGCGGGTGAGGATGAATGTGAGAAACAGGAAAAATACCCTCCCCCTTCTGCCCCCACCAGACAGGAGCTGACTTTAGCTGTTCCTAAGGCAGCCGAGAAGAGAGGTTTGCAGAGGAGAAGCAGCTCTCCTGTGGAGCTGGGCTACCACAGGCCTGGGGCTTCTGTTTGGTGGCTGGCAGAAGGGAACTGAGTGAGGCTTTTGGACCTGGGAGCAGGGCGGGGGGTGGCAAATAACGTGAAGTTTCAGGGATGTTTAGGATGGTGGCTTTTCTTTTGAGGAATGGCTTGTGGTCTGGGCAGGATGGAGACCTGCTGCGATAGGTGTATTTTTGAAGTTAAAAACTAAAGTTTGTTAAGCCTCTTTCAAGTTGCCATGAAATGAGCCCGTTCTAAACAAGCTAGAGGTAAGCGGGACGGGTCAAACAGTGTGTAAAATGACTGCAGGCATGTGAGTGGTTTGCACCAGTGTGTTTGGAAGTTGCCTCGTTAACAAATCCGTTTGTTTTCTTTTTGTACAACAAGTGGTTGGATATCTGGAAATGAATTCTGAGGAGTGTGTAAGTTCATCTGCCAACTGGATGGTCCTGTCAGCCTGCCACACGCAGCGTGCCCCAATCTTCCCATTGCCAGCACAGAAGTTTTAAAATTGTGCCTTATATAACAGATTGGAGAAAACGTTTGGTGTTTGCCAGTGCGTCTGAAAAAGAATTGCTGTAAATTAGGGCAGGAGGCCTCCATGGGGATCCTGTGGAGAGGCCTTCTCTGTGGCGGGGTAGGCTTGACTCCTGTCAGGAACTTGCCAAAGATTTGTTGGGTTTGTTTTGATTTGGTGTGTTACAGATAGGAACGTTGTTTGGTGATGATTTTATCGCTGCTTAGCACCTTTTGGCCCTCTGGGTGGGTTGTAGTCTTGTGGGGTAGACGAGGATGATCTAAGCCCAACCTTCTGCCTGGCTGGTGGCAGCTTCTCTCAGGTCTGTGGGGGTATGCACGCTTGGGGAGCCCCCAGTTCCCCCCGGGGGGGATTGTCTCCTTAGCTTGTAGAGAGGACTGCCCTCCTGTGCCAGTCTGCCTCGGGATTTGATCTCCTTCTCGTTAGCTCACAAATCTGTAAGGCCTTATAAATCAGTTCTGTAGTTTCTTTGCAAAAACAGCTGCCGCTCTGGTTTGCACTTGCATCAAAACGACTGGGGTGCAGTTGGTGGTGGTTTGCAGGGGAGACTGTTTTTCTGTCCGGCAGTTTCTCTGGATGCGCTGAATGGAGCTCTGTGTTCCTGCCCTTGCAGCGTGGTTTGTGTTTGGTTTTCTTGTTGCAGCACTCTTCAGAAGAGCGAGTGGAGAGGAGGAAGTTGGCACTTGCCGTTCAGCAGGTTTCTGGATTCTGCCCTGCGAGTGCTTCTCTCCGCTGGTGTCAGTACGTGGAGAGGCTTCGCATCGCCTCTTGTTTTGTATTCCGTGTCCGAGCTCCTGTGCGGCCTGAGTGTTGTCAAAACTGTTAATACAGGAGTGACTCAGCGGATCAATGGGAATGACATGAGGGTTGTGCTCATGGACAATCAGTATTTTTCCCCCCCCACCCCCTCCAGCCCCACCGGGCTGGAAGAGACGATGTCCGAGAGCATCTGCCAATAAACATCTTTACTGGACTCGGGCCTGATTGTGCTCTGTAGCCTTCGCCCCCGCCCCCCGTGGTTTTCCTAGGAGGAGCTCTGAGGAGCTGTGCTGGAACAGCAATCCCTTGCTTTGGCTGGTCCATCCAGGTGTGTGCCT